GCCGCTCGCTGTGCTTGGAGTTACTGCAATGCGTGAGTGTTATGTGGTTTGGAACGGAACGGTACGGTACGGTACGGTACAGTAAGGTGCAGTGATGGTAATGTATGGTAGATGTGAGGCATAGCTGCTGGACAGCCTCTCGGACTCTATTCAGATTGACATCCGGCGCTCGAAAGCTACTCCACCCCTCCTCAGCTCCCTCCCGGGACCCCTCTTCCTTGCAAGGAGCAGCTACCCCAGTTCCCAACACCCCTCTCCTTCCTCCTTCCCCCCTTCCCGTCCCCTTTCCGCCACCTCTTCCCCTCACACTCAACAGTCCGTGCTCTTCTGTGCCATGGAACCCCCAGTCCTGGACGCCTTCTGTGCGCGCCTGCAACAGCAGATGCACCATCCCATCACCCCTGTCCTTCCTCCTTCCCCTCCCTTCCCCACCTCCGCCTTCCCTTCCCCCTCCCCACCCGCTCAACAGTCCGTGCTCTTCTGTGCCATGGAACCCCCAGTCCTGGACGCCTTCTGTGCGCGCCTGCAGCAGCAGATCTACACAGCCGGCTCAATGATCATACGAGAGGGCTACCCCGTGACGCGCATCTTCTTTGTCCTCCGCGGCGAGCTCGAGAGCTCGATGGCTTCTCCACGTTCTCCTTCTCCCCATTCTCCTGTGATCCTCACTCCCTCTCCTTCCTCCCTCCTTTCTCCCTCCTTCCCCCCCTCCTCTCCCCTCTAGTCCAAGCTGTTTTGTGCCATGGAGCCGCCAGTCCTGGACGCCTTCTGTGCGCGGCTGCAGCAGCAGATCTACACAGCAGGTTCAATGATCATACGAGAGGGCTACCCCGTGTCGCGAATCTTCTTTGTCCTCCGCGGCGAGCTCGAGAGCTTCTCAACGTTCGGCGGGCACACGGGGATGGTGGACACTGTGGTGCTGGGCAAGGGCGACTTCCTGGGCGAGGAGCTTCTGGTGGAATGTCTCGAGAGGCTGTCGAGTGCCAGTGGGAAGGGCTCGGGGCGATCCCTTACCATGAGGAGATGTGAGTCTCTGTCTGTTGTTGTCTGGGTTTGTTGAACGGGAAGGGGAGGGTTGCGGGAAGGGCTTGGGGCGATCCCTTACCATGAGGAGATGTGAGTCTCTGTCTGTTGTTGTCTGGGTTTGTTGAACGGGAAGGGGAGGGTTGCGGGAAGGGCTTGGGGCGATCCCTTACCATGAGGAGATGTGAGTCTCTGTCTGTTGTTGTCTGGGTTTGTTGAACGGGAAGGGGAGGGTTGCGGGAAGGGCTTGGGGCGATCGCTCACCATGCGGCGATGTGAGTTTCTTTCTGTCCTTGCTTGGAAACGGCCATGTGGGAAGGGGGCAGACCCTCAGGTCAAGATGTGAGTATGATTCTGTCCTTGCATGGGAAGGGGCGTGGCAAGGGGCGCATGGAAGGGGCACACGGGGATGGTGGATACAGTGGTGCTGGGCAAGGGGGGCTTTCTGGGGGAGGAGCTTCTGGTGGTGGAGTGTCTCGAGAGGCTGTCTGCTGCCAGCGGGAAGGGCTCGGGGCGATCGATTACCATGAGCCGATGTGAGTATCGGTGGGAAGCTCTGGGTGTGAGGAGATGTGAGTATCTCTGTTTTCGTTCTTGTTTTTTTCGTTCCCCGTTCCTTTCCCCCCCAGCCATCTCAGCCACGCCATCACTCACCAGCTCTGCCAACATCTCCCAGCCATGTGAAGCGAGGTTGTTTTTGAGACGTCTCAAAAACGCCATCTCTCACCAGCTCTGCCAACATCTCCCAGCCATCTTTTGAGGCGCCTCAAAAGCCACGCCATCTCTCACCAGCTCTGGCAACATCTCCCAGCCATCTATAGACCTGCTGCCCACAGCACAACCCTCGCTTTCTTCTCTCATACTTCCCCATCCCCAAACCCCAACCCCCCGCTTCCCCACCCACCCACCCCCCAGCCATCTCAGCGACCCCATCACTCACCAGCTCTGCCAATCTGTCCCAGCCATCAGTAGACGTGCTGCCCACAGCACAACCCTCCATTCCGTCTCTTACCCCCCAATACTGCCTTCCCACCTCCCACCATCCCCGTTCCCCGCCCCCCCAGCCATCTCTGCCACGCCATCGCTCACCAGCTCTGCCAATCTGTCCCAGCCATCAGTAGACGTCTTGCCAACAGCGCAGCGCTCGGTGCGCTGCCTGGGGCCCGTCGAAGGGTACTCGTTAGAGGCTGCAGATGTGGCGTCTGTGTGCAAGCAGTTTGCACGCATGCTCTGCACCAACACCATTCAGCGCGCCCTTAAGTGAGATGTCTTTTCTTTGTCTTCTTTCCTGCTTTTTTCTTTTCTTTTCTTTTAGTTCCTTTTGTGTGTGTATAAGAACTTCCATCTTCGCTTTTCAGATTCAGAATCAATCTCTGCAGAAACTTGTGTATTCCGTCCCAAAAACGCAACCGTAAAAGCTGCCTTCACATCGTGCGCTCTGCCCGTCAAATAAACTATGCTTTCTCCCCCCCTCCCACATGCCCTCTCCCCGCCTCAACCTCTCCCCATCCGTGCTTCCTTCTAATCACCTCCAGCGAAATATGCTACAACAGACGAACGCACGCCGCCCGCACGATCCAGCTGGCGTTCCGGCGGTACTTGAGGCGAAAGCTCGGTCTCTCTGTAGAGGATGTATTTAAAGCGGTTCGGAACAGGCGCATGGCGGCGGTGCTTAACAAAGCACAGGAGATACGAGCTAATAGTGCGCTTAATGGTACTGCTGCTGCTGCCGCTGCTTTGGCCGTTGCTGCTGCTGGGAGTGCGAGTGTGGCCGCAAGTGGGAGGAGCAGTGATTCGGAGAAGGCAAGGGGGGAGGAGGAGAAAGGGGAGAAGGGAGAAGGGAAGGTGAGGTTTGCTGTGGATAAAGGAGACAGTGGGCGCGACAAAAAATCGGAGTAATTTTAAATATATGTCCGTTGATCCTTGCTAAATCTGGCGCCATGCCTTACTAGCCAATACAATGGTTGGGTGTTGAACCATTGTCATTAACTGACTGTTCGCATGCATAATTTATTCCACTGGTTTGCAATTTTGAGTTGCCTAATTTGTCCCTCTAAAGGCTGCACTATATTCTACGCTCAGCCGTGAAGCGGTTCTCACTGAGGCGAGTCTAGCTGCAAGTCGCCATGTCATTCGACGACGCAGCGCTTTTCTTCAGTAAGCGACAAGCTGGAACTCATTGTGGACCGTCAGCGACAGCTCGGTTCATCGCAAGCACACATCAGCCATTAATTTACCGCCACATTTTCGGTCGTCAGCTACACATGATGCTCGTTTGACTAACCCAAGGTTGCCTTGTAAAGAGGGCATTTAAAGGGTTCTTGTTATGTCGCAAATTTCGTCAACGTCGTACCTAGCTAAAAAGGGCTTATAAAAAAATTGTAACTCTTCGTTGACTTTTTGACTTCAGTCTCTTCAGATATTCTTTGGTTTCTGTGGTTACTATTGGTTCATAGCCAATGCAGCTTGCTCGGGGTGCTTGTATCGTGGGTGCAGCTAGCTGGCGCAAAATACACGGGTGCAGACTTTCTGGCGCGTGCAGGGCAAATTCGCGCGCAGCAGTTGAGCATCATGTGTAAACACATTATCGTAAAGGTTGAGAATTGAGCAGTGATTGGTTGATTCGTTGCCGACAAATCGATTTGAACTGGACGTCGGCGATTAGCATGGGTGGCGGAAGGAAGCGGAGGGTGTTTGGAGGGAGTAGGGGGAATTGGTGAGGAGCATCTGTGCGATGCTGCTGTTGTTTTTCGCTCGTAGTCGTATGGACACACGTGGAATCGCACGAGGATTTATCATCGTCGCGAATTTCGTTCACCCCGCTTCTGGATCGCCTGCTTTACCCCACTTTGCAGAGAAGGGAGGAGCAGGAATATAGACGAGCGAATCGCCAGGAATACCGAGGGTGGGGGCAAATTTGCGCGATTTGAAAAACAGACGGAAACCGTCCCCAAGCGAGTCAATAATCGCCACCAGCAGCAGCGCCAACCCAATGGCCCTCCCTCCCTCCCTGCCCGAAACACCCAGCGACCAACCAACAACCCAAGAAACCAAAGCAACAACCACAAGCGGTCGAGTCGATGCACTGTGCGACAGCGACGGAAAACATGAAACGAACTTTTCAAAAACAACAACTCGAGTGTGAGAAAGGGATCATATTCCCCCCTTTCGTCCAAAAACGGAAATTCTGAAGGGAGGAGGGAGCAACTCTGCTGGTGGAACCTGGTCAACTCACCGCCATGGCCACCGTTCCCGCGTCGCACGTCGTTCGCGCGCGAGGTGCATCGTCCGTGCCGTCCTCGCGCAGTAGGGTAACCAGCTACTCGTCCGAAGCCTCCTTTCGCGAAGCGTCGCATGGGCCGTTTCTCCCGCCCCGCTCCCGTCGATTAAAGCCTTTAATCGCTATATCATCCGATCCCAGCCATTGCGCGTTGCGAACATCCCAGCCACTCAAAAGCCGCCACGTGGCGTCATCTGGACTTTCAGAACCCGCAGCGCGAGTTTCTGTGCCAGTAACGAACGGCAGTGTTGCTCCCGAAGCGCGTAGCCCCTCAATCTCAGTGGAAAAGTTCCCGCTAACAAAACCAGCTTCAGTAGAGTCATCTACCTTTGATGCCAAGAGCTTACTCATAAAGGCTAATAGCGTGGATATTGGTACACCGTCATCGCGCGTCGCTTCGTCACGTGGAGCTACTTATAACGGGGATCGCGATGTTAGCAAGTTGAACTTCGACCCCGATATCGGAACACATCAGAACACCAGTGCAACCGCTTTAGTCACAGCCGTGCGTCGGGTTCTCGGGCAGTGGCGACACGAACTTTCGCGGAAGATGCATTGCGACACCGTAGGCTCCTCCTCTACTTCCTCCTCCTCCTCCTCTCCGCTCCCTTCCTATTCCCAGGAATCAACGGTTCCATTTTTCCGGCAATCAGCGGCTTCTGGTTGGCGGAAACTAGCCGCGTCAGCGTCGATCGCTATGTTCCTTCTCTCCTCCTCCCCGATTCCCGCTCTCGCTTACGTGGCGGCGCCTCCGCGCACGCTTTCCCAAGATGAGATCGCGACCGTCCGATTGTTCAAGGAGACGACGCCATCCGTCGTGAACATTACGAACCTCGGCGTGGGTCGCGACGCGCTGACGCTCGACGTGCTGGCGGTGCCGCAAGGGTCGGGGAGCGGGTTCATATGGGACGAGATGGGACATATCGTGACCAACTACCACGTAATCGCTAATGCCGCTGACCTCAGGTAAGTGGATGGGTGGAATGCGGTGGAATAAGGACTTGGCAGCGGGTTCATGTCAGACGAAGTGGGGCACATCGTTGCCAACTACCACGTGAATAAGGAAATGCCAGTGCTGCTGATCATCTCCTTTTCCCCCATTTGATCTCACAGGGTAACCCTTTTTGTTTGAGGTTGATTTTGAGAATTCTCAAAATCAACCATTTGATCACACAGGGTAACCCTCTCAGACTCCTCAGTGCATGCAGCGGGTGTGGGGTGAGACGAGGTCAAGGACGTGGCGGTGCCACAGGCAACCACCTCCCCTTCAACCTCTTTCCCACCTCCTCACTTCATTTATTTATGGCACGCACGCACATGCGTGGTGGTGGTGGTGGTGGTGGGGTGTGACGAGGACAAGGACGTGGCAGTGCTGCGAATCAACTCTCAATCTCTCCCCTCTCTCCACTCTCCCCATCACTTCCATTCCTTTGATGTCCCCAGCACATTGCGTCACAGAGTCACACTCTCAGACTCCTCAGTGCATGCAGCAGTGGTGGTGGGGTGCGATGAGGATAAGGACATGGCAGTGTTGCCGATTGACCTCTCTCCATTCATTTGTGTTCCTTGTATTGTTGCCCGTGTGACTGCAACCCACCCCACAGAGTGACCCTCTCAGACTCCTCGGTGCATGCAGCGGTGGTGGTGGGCTGTGATGAGGACAAGGACGTGGCAGTTCTGCGAATCGACGCCCCTCAGGAGTCGCTCCACCCGGTTACCATCGGATCGTCGTCAGATTTGATGGTCGGGCAACGGGTTTTCGCCATTGGTAACCCCGTGAGTCACACTCTTAACCCCCCCTCACTTACTCACTCCACCCTCCCCCCCTCTCTCTCCCCCACCTCATCTCTCCTGTTCTGCATGATCCTTGGTCCCGTACACCAGTCATTACCAAGAGGAGCAATAGATTCCAAGAATCTCACCCCGTTGTGCTTGGTCCTTGCTTGTGTGTCTTTTTCTTCACCGTTTGGGCTCGACCACACGCTCACATAAGGCGGCTCTTGAGACGGCTTAAAAGCCCTACAATCCCCCCACCCCTTTCCCTCCCCCTTCCCCCCTTGGCCCTTGCTTGTGTCTTGTTCCCCACAGTTTGGGCTCGACCACACTCTCACATCAGGCGTCATCAGGTCAGTGTAATGTAACTAACGAGTATCAGGTCAGTGTAATGTAACTAACGAGTATCAGGTCCGTTTGTATAGGGAGGGACGCCCGCAAGCCTAGATTCTCGTCACTTGTTTTACCTTTAAGCTCCCGGAAGGCTATGCAACTGACATGCAATTTCCTTCTTCATCTTCTCCCTTCACAGCAGCCTTGAAACACTTTCTTTTATCCACTCTCTTTCTTCCTCATAATCAACCTTTCTCCTTCCCTTTCTCTCCTCCACCTCCTCCGGCCTCCCCATCCATCTCACCAGCGGTTTGAGGAGAGAGATCCAATCAGCAGCAACAGGGCGGCCAATACAGGGGGTGATACAAACGGATGCTGCTATAAATCCGGGCAACAGCGGTGGGCCTCTTTTGGACTCTAGTGGCAGTCTAATCGGCATCAATACGGCTATATATTCACCTTCGGGTGCTTCTTCTGGTGTCGGATTTGCCATTCCTGCCGACAGTGTGAGTCATGCTGACTGTACCTATAGCGAGATGCGCTAGTCGAGAGTGCAGTCCTTCACATGGCTATAAAATCACCCTCCGGCTGGGATTTTTTTTTTACGACGCAAAAACTTACCTCCCATTGAAGAACAGTCATTCCCCTCCCCCCACCCTCACAACCGCCTCCCTCCCCTCGTGCTCTATTACCCCAACCCCGCAGATCAGCGGCATCGTGGAGCAGATAATAGAGAATGGGAGGGTGGTGCGGCCGGTGCTGGGGATCTCCTTTGCGCCCGAGGAGGCGGTGGAGAAGCTGGGCGTTGACGGGGTGCTCGTGCTCGATGCCCCGCCCTCGGGGCCTGCAGGCAAAGCCGTGAGTTCATGTGTACAGTGATTGTAGCTTATACTATATCACCTTTGTTCGCTGCTGGGCATCTCCTATGCGCCCAAGGAGGCGGTGAAGTTGGGCATCGACGGGGTGGTCGTGCTTGACGCCCCTCCCTCCGGGCCCGCAGGCAAAGCTGTGAGTCTGTGTGTACAGTGTAGGGTACTGCTCCAATCTCTTTTGTTTGCTGCATTCATATAGTTTTTCTGTTGTGAATACTGTGTTCTGTGCTTGTTTTTGTCTCTTTGCTCAGGGTCTCCGGCCCACATCGAGAGACAACTACGGTCGGCTGGTATTGGGAGACATCATTACCGCTATTGACAACCATAAAGTGCGGAGCGGAACGGACCTCTATCGGGCACTTGATGATTGCCAAGTGGGAGACACAGTAAGTGCACATCCAGTCATCTACAAGGTGTTGTACGGTCTTCTTAGTGATTTTTTGCTAATGATTTGCAAACACATTGTGTGCAGGTTGCTGTTACAGTACTGAGGGGGGATAGTGAAGTGACAGTTAATGTAGTACTAGAGGCAAAGGACTAGTTGTCAGGTTGTGACAGGGTGTTGTTGCCTTATAAATATTAGTGCCATTAGCTAAAATCTAGCTGCTGAAGATAACTATAGGCAGTGGTACCGTATTTGTAATTTAATCACTGTACACCTACGAGAACTTTGCGGTGGTGCATTTCGTCTGGAACATGCTCAGCCGCATCTGTGGGTTTGCGACCAAGGTTCTAGGTTGAGGTGAGGGCTAGGCATAGCCTTGAATCGATATAAGCGCTGGTTGAGTGAAATACACACTGCAATTGTCCCCCCAGTGGCCGAGATATCGATACTGTCACATATTCGTCACTACTCTGGGAAAAGTTTTTCCACCGGCCTAGGATCAGCGCCCAGGAAGTGGCATTTCACCTCGCGTGTTCGGCGGCATCATCGTGCGTCTCCATATACCAACGCGGCTCGAAATGCGGCGCTGCGTCCCTGAAATCCAAACCAAACTCTGCTGAATGCATAAATTCGACATTTCAGCCTCGAAAGAGACATTCCGCAGCACACAGCCATTTGTCGAGCAACTCGAACACCGAATCCATTCGCCAGCACACTCAAGTTTTCAGCTTTTCTACTCAAGCCAGAAAAGGGCCGCTATGGCTCAGAAAATCGCCATCTTCGTCATCACGTTGGCATGCCTCGCCGCAGTCGGTACGTCATCGAGCAAGATTTCTTTTTACATACACATTTCTGACGTGCATGCACTGTGAATGCATCAGAAAGCGATGCTGTGAAATATGTCATAACGCAGAAACTGACGCGTTCGTGAATGTGTTTGCAGGATTCGCGCGTCCGCCGGCGAGCGTTCGCGCCGGGCTTCAGAAGATCGAGAAGAATGACGTGTTCATGGGAGTGTATCAGGGATCGCTCTATGCTGAGCTGGACCACGTGGACGGCGCCGACAAGATGTCGGACGGCTATGCGTACATGGCGATCTACAAGTAAGATTTGATAAATATGTTTTTTAGAGATTTCCCTCATCCCAAGACAAAAAACAATCACAATCGCTTATTCAGAGTCATGTTTCTACATGGCCCATCGTAAAATTTATTTTCATTTTCAAGATACTGATCCGTACTTATCGCGTTTCGAATGGCTTCCAGGAAGGGCGACGATTACAACATCCGATACGGCGCGGAGGCCGAATCCAAGGAGCCCGGGGAGCCCACCGCGTTCACAATCAACAGCGCGGCCGACAACAGCCTTGTTATCGACCTGGGCGCCGGCCAGACATACAAGAACACCACGTACGAGCTCCGCGTGTTCAAGTTCCTGCAGAAGTTCGTCCCGTACTCGTACAGGTTCAAGGGCAAGTGGACCCCGGCCAGCAGTGTTACCGTCGCCGCTGGCCCGCTTAAGGACACCGTTGACGCCATGATTCAGAACCCTAAGAACTACTACGCGATTTTCAACACGGCGACGAACCCTGCTGGTTGCGCCAAGGGCGCGTTTGATTTCATCCAGCCGTGGTGGAAGCGCCTGTAAGCACGGCCGGGGATCTGAAGAAGAGCTGTTGAGAAGATTTGTAGAGAGTGCAGGCATATGCAACGTCTTAGTTCACTCCCTTGGTGAACATTTCCCTCCATTTGCTGGGTTTTTCTTTTTTGTGGTGGATTGTTGTCTGAGTGGAAGTTGTAGCCTGATCATCTTATTTTGAATTTCCCATACTTTTACAAAGCTTCATCACACAAAACCATATAAAGGAAATAAGAAATTGGTGTTTGAATGCTGAACTCAGCTTAGGACAGGGAGTCCAATGTATTAGTGTTGTGGGCAAGGTCTAGCGGATCATGTTATACAGCCATATGTGATCTAATTCGTTAACCGCAATACGAAGCGGAGGGTTGGAACTTGGAAGGTTATCCATGAAGGGTACTCTTGTGCTGATAGGACGAAGCAAGAAGATGGCAACAGGTGGTGCTGATTCAGGTCAATACACGTCATCGCCACCTGATTCCAACATTCGGGTTTCGGGATGTGGAATGGATGGAAAGCCAGAACTTCCACCATTTTATCAGGCATATTTTTATCGCGTAGTTCAGATTATAAACTATATCGGTGTCTTAAGTTGATAAACGCTACGTGTCTTTAATAAAATGGCATAGAATGTTTTGTTCGTTGCATAGAGGAATAACCAATCTAGTAGAGATAACTTCAACTATACATGTTTTGTTTTGTCTTTTTGGGTAGTGCATCTGGAGTTTCTCAAAGTTATTTTCATCCGGACAGATCAGCCCGAGAAGGGCAACAGGTTTCGGAATTTCTCGCCATCTCGATGACTGCAAGAGTCAAGCACAGCAGAACCACATTCCGTCGAACCAGGGAAATTCTGGAAGTGAGAAATTCCAGTCTCCAGATCCGAGGCAGATTCAGGAAGCCTGGAGAATTCTTAGCACTACACAAGATGCCCGTTTGACTAGCCCAAGGTTGCCTTGTAAAGAAAGCTCTTAAGTGATCCTTGTTTTTCGCTTAGTGTTCGTTAATTCGCACTTAACAAAAAGGGCTTTTATTAGATTTTGTAACTCTTTGTTGACTGTTTGACGTTGGTCTCTTCTGTCAAACTTCGGTTTTTGTGGTTCGTATTGCTCGAGGTGCTTGTCAATGGGGTGCAACTGGCTTGCACCCTAATACACGGGTGCAGAGTTTCCATTGTGAGCAGGGCGAATTCGCGCGCAGGGGTTTGGCATCTTGTGTATTTCATCAGCCGTCTTCGTACTTGGCTTCACTGTCCCGTGCCACAGAGAACGAATTCAGAATCCGGAATCCGTTCCATGGTGATTTCGCTTTGTGTTTTTCTTAGGCCCTATTTCGGAAGCTAGTCTACCCCTCTCGTCAAGATGGCGTCGGTGCTGCTGCCTACGTCCGTGAAGCCTAAAAAGTATGTGCTGCATCTGGAGCCGAATCTGGAGACCTTCAAGTTCAAGGGCATCGTGACCGTAGATTTGGACGTGGTTGAGCCGACGAATGAGATTCGGTTCCATGCGCAGGAGTTGGAGCTGCATAAGGTAGGCGAATAGCAACTGAACTGGTTTTGATGTCCTTACGGAAACGCGCAAGGTTCCGATAGTTACGTTATTATCTTCATTTTTAAGTCGTTGAAGTAAAGTTGAAAGTAAATATTTATTGACCTAATTCGTTTCAGTGTCAGAATGAAGACATAGGGTGAGCGGATTGACACTGAATCTGTTTCAGTGACTTTTAAAGAAGGCGTACAGTGAGCAGGTTGTCACTGAATTTGTTTTTAATGTCCCAAAAAGAGGCATACGGTGAGCTGTTTGTCACTGATTTCGTTTCAATGTCTTAGGAAAAAGGCTACGGTGAGGGAATCGTCACTAAATTTGTTTCATTGTCTCAGAATTTGGATTTGGTTAGCGGATGGCCACTGAATTTGTTTCAATGGTTCAGAAATCATACGTTCGGAGCGGATTGTCGCTAAATCTGTTTCAGTGTCTCAGGAAGAAGACATACGGTGAGCGGATTGTGACGACCAGCGGATGGAATACCAGCGGTGTCTAACATGGAATTGCAGATGCTGTTCTGGGATGCTCTCTCACCCTGCCTGCTCGCCACAATCCCCTTCAGGTGGAACTAACAACAGGTGGCAAGCTCTTCACAGCAGGAGCGAATGGAGTGCCAGCAGTGGAGCTGGATGCGGAAAGGCAGGAAGGGAGGATTATCAGCTGTTGTATGCTCTTTCGCCCTGCCTCCTCCGCACTATTTCTTTTTCGTCAGGTGGAGCTGACAACAGGGGGCAAGCTTCTTACAGCAGGAGTGGATGGAGTGCCGGCGGTGGAGCTGGACAAGGAGAGGCAGGAAGGGAAGTTGGTGCTGGGGGAAGGGCAGACGATGAGCACGGGGCCTGCGAAGCTCAGAATCGAATACACTGGCATTCACAACGACAACATGGTCGGCTTCTACCGTAAGTGCTGTTTTGGGTACATAGTGTGACGGCCAGAAACAGTAAGGAGAGGCAGGAAGGGAAGTTGGTGCTGGGGGAAGGGCAGACGATGAGCACGGGGCCTGCGAAGCTCAGGATTTGAGTACACGGGCATCCACAACGACAACATGGTCGGCTTCTACTGTGAGTGTCGATCGGAGTAAGTAGGGGAGGAAGTTCAGTTGAAGTGCTTTCTGAAGCAGTGGATGGTGATCATTAGATTCGAACCAGTAGGAACGTGCCAATCCGTTTCTTGCTGAGGGAAGCTGATGAAAACAACCGTCCGCGCTCCCCATTTCCTTTCACTTTCCCCTTTCAGGTGCATCCTACACCCAAGACAGCCAGAAGAAGTGGATGGTAACCACGCAGTTCGAACCAGTAGGAGCGCGCCAAGCCTTGCCCTGCTGGGACGAGCCCGCTGCCAAAGCCACGTTCGAGGTGTCACTGCGCGTGCCGACCGGGTTGCAAGGCTTGTCCAACATGGACGAGGTTGGGCGGGAGAAGCAGGCGGACGGGTCCGAGGTGGTTCGGTTCGCAGAGAGCCCGGTTATGAGCACATACCTGCTGGCGTTCGTGGTGGGGGAGGTGGAGTGTGTTTCTGACAAGACAAGCAATGGCACTTTGGTGAGAATGGGATAAGGCCGGGGATGAACGGTTGGATAGGGTGTGGTATGAGGGTGGCTCGATTAGCCGAGAACCCAGTTGTGAGCACGTACCTGCTGGTGTTCGTGGTGGGGGAGGTGGAGTGAGTTTCTGACAAGACGAGCAATGGCACTCTGGTGAGAATGGGAAAGCTTGTTGCGGCATGATTGCAGGGGGGGGTGTGGTTGTACAGGTGTGGTTCGGTTTGCAGAGAGCCCTGTGATGAGCACTTACCTGCTGGCATTCGTGGTGGGGGAGGTGGAGTGTGTGTCAGAAAAGACCAGCAATGGCACTCTGGCTAGAGTGGGAAGGGGATATGTAATTGCATGTAAGTGGAAAAGATATCATGGGTTTGTTTCCAATCAGTGGGATCTTGGTGACTGTATGTGAGTGGATTAGGAATCATGTGATAGTATGGGGTGTGATTGTATATGCATCTAAGCCCACATGTTCATGCTGTACTGTTCCTATATTGGTTGGTGCGTCCAGGTGAACATCTACACGACGCCAGGGAGGAAGGAGCAAGGAAGGTTCGCCCTGTCAGTGGCGTGCAAGGTGATCACGTTCTTTGAGGACTACTTCGGAATCAAGTACCCCCTGCCCAAGGCCGACCTCATTGGTGAGTTTTGAGGCGCTGTGCGGGTGGTCACCAGCATACCTCAAAGGACGCTTGGTGGCGCGCATTGCAAGGTGATCACGTTCTTTGAGGAGTACTTCGGAATCAAGTACCCTCTGCCCAAGGCCGACCTGATTGGTGAGTTTTCTCACTGACTCCCCGCCGTTCCTTACTTGACTCCCTTCTCCACATGCCATGTTTGTGTAGCCATCCCGGACTTCGCCATGGGAGCCATTTAGAACTGGGGCCTCATCACGTTCAGGGAGACGGCTCTCTCATGCGTTCCCACTCTCATCATTCCGTATGTGTTCGGCTCCTTTCCCCTTGTACCATGTGCATGCAGCCATCCTGGACTTCGCCATGGGAGCCATGGAGAACCGGGGCCTCATCACGTTCAGGGAGACGGCTCTCTCATGCGTTCCCACTCTCATCATTCCGTATGTGTTTGGCTCCTTTCCCCTTGTACCATGTGCATGCAGCCATCCCGGACTTCGCCATGGGAGCCATGGAGAACCGGGGCCTCATCACGTTCAGGGAGACGGCTCTCTCATGCGTTCCCACTCTCATCATTCCGTATGTGTTTGGCTCCTTTCCCCTTGTACCATGTGCATGCAGCCATCCCGGACTTCGCCATGGGAGCCATGGAGAACTGGGGCCTCATCACGTTCAGGGAGACGGCACTGCTGCTGGATGAGAACAGCGCACCTGCTGCCACCAAGCAGCGTGTGGCTTACGTCATCTCGCACGAGTTGGCCCACCAGGTAGGCTAAGGAGGGGCCAACCATGGAGAAAAAATGATATGGGAGAAAGAATTATATCCTGCATACACCAACGTCTGCCACTTCCCTGCTAATTTCTACCCTCATCCGATCCCATTTCTATTTCCCCCCTCGTCGCCCTGCCTCTGCTTCCCCATTTCCCCAACCCCATTGTCCAACCCCTCCTTTTCCTCCCCTCTCAACTCCCACCGCTCCGCAGTCGTTTGGTAACCTGGTAACCATGCAGTGGTGGAACGACCTGTGGTTGAACGAGGGCTTTGCCACGTGGGTGGGCTGGCTGGGAGTGGACTACATCTTCCCCCTTCATATGAAGTGCTGGAACGACCTGTGCCCCCTTTACCCTTTCTCCCCCCTCCCCTCTGCCCTTTCCGCCCCTGTTTCTCCCCCTTCTTCCCCACCCCCCTGTCGCTCCCCTCAACCCGGAACCCATGCCCCACCGCTCTCCAGTGGTTTGGTAACCTGGTAACCATGCAGTGGTGGAACGACCTGTGGTTGAACGAGGGCTTCGCCACGTGGGTGGGCTGGCTGGGGGTGGACTACATCTTTCGCCGCATGTCCTATGCCTGGATCTCCCCTCATATGCCCTTCACTCCCCTTTCTCCCCACTCCTCCCTGCCCTTTCCACCCCCCACCCCCTGCCCTTTCCACCCCCCACCCCTTGCCCTTTCCACCCCCCACCCCCGTTTCTCCCCCCACCCTCTCCCGCCTCTCCTTTTTCTCCCGTCAACCCCCAATCCCAACCTCTACCACACGTCACTACTGCAGTGGTTTGGTAACCTGGTAACCATGCAGTGGTGGAACGACCTGTGGCTGAACGAGGGCTTCGCCACGTGGGTGGGCTGGCTGGGCGTGGACTACATCTTTCCCGAGTGGGACGTGTGGACGCAGTTCGCCTGCAATGACATGGACACGTGCCTGCACACTGACGCCCTGCTGGGCTCTCACCCTGTTGAAGTGCCCATCAACGACCCCAAGGAGATCGAGCAGGTGAGCGCTGTGAGGGTTGGGAGCGGTGGAATCCGTTGGGTTGGGGTGGGATGGGGTGGGATGGGGTGGGATGCGGTGGGATGCGGTGAGAGTGGCTAGTGGGGGAGGGGGCTGGCTGGGGGTGGACTACATCTTCTCCGAGTGGGACGTGTGGACGCAGTCCGCCTGCAATGACATGGACACGTGCCTGCACACTGACGCCGTGCTGGGCTCTCACCCCGTTGAAGTGCCCATCAACGACCCCAAGGAGATCGAGCAGGTCAGTGCGGGGGGGTTGGGAGGGGGGCGATGTGATGGGATGGGGTGGGTGGGGGAAATGAGGTCTGGGAGATTGATCAGGTGTGCATGGGGGTTGGGAGGGGTGGGTGGGGATGGGATCAGATTGGCTGGGATGGTATGGGGTAAGACGGGATAGGATGGGATAGGATAAGATGGGACGGGAGTGAACATTTGTTTTTTACCTTTATTCTTATTTCTTATTTATCCTATGCGCATCCCGCCAGGTGTTTGACGCCCTGAGCTACTCCAAGGGCGCATGTGTCATTCGGCAGCTGGAGTCCGCCATTGGTGCCGACGCCTTCAAGAAGGTCCGTGCGTGTGTGCTTACCTTCCTCACTGGGGAATTTGCACAGGGAGGGTCGAGCAATAGGGAGATTTGCACAGGGGGGTTTGCCCGGGGAGGTCCGCGGGAGGGGGGGGGGGGATAGCATGGGGGTATTTGCGCAGGCAGTGCAGGTTGCATGCATGCACTAGTTGCTGTCACTTCAGCGCTGACCTACTCCAAGGGCGCATGTGTCATTCGGCAGCTGGAGGCCGCCATTGGAGCCGACGCCTTCAAGAAGGTGAGTTTGTGCGTGCACTCACAGTGAGTTTGTGCGTGCACTCACAGTGAGTTTGTGCGTGCACTCACAGTGAGTTTGTGCGTGCACTCACAGTGAGTTTGTGCGTGCACTCACAGTGAGTTTGTGCGTGCACTCACAGTGAGTTTGTGCGTGCACTCACAGTGAGTTTGTGCGTGCACTCACAGTGAGTTTGTGCGTGCACTCACAGTGAGTTTGTGCGTGCACTCACAGTGAGTTTGTGCGTGCACTCACAGTGAGTTTGTGCGTGCACTCACAGTGAGTTTGTGCGTGCACTCACAGTGAGTTTGTGCGTGCACTCACAGTGAGTTTGTGCGTGCACTCACAGTGAGTTTGTGCGTGCACTCACAGTGAGTTTGTGCGTGCACTCACAGTGAGTTTGTGCGTGCACTCACAGTGAGTCGCACCGGAAGGGGGAGGGTGCAGCTCTCGCGCTGACGCGCTGAGCTACTCCAAGGGCGCATGTGTCATTCGGCAGCTGGAGGCGGCCGCCATCGGAGCCAACGGTCTTCAAGGAACGCCGGTGCATGCTCGCACAAAGGGGGGAAGTACAAGGTTATTTGTACAGGAGAAGGTGCTCAGGGGTAGTTGCACAGGAGAAGGTGCTCAGGGTTGCACAGGAGAAGGTGCTCAGGGGTAGTTGCACAGGAGAAGGTGCTCAGGGGTAGTTGCACAGGAGAAGGTGCTCAGGGGTAGTTGCACAGGAGAAGGTGCTCAGGGGTAGTTGCACAGGAGAAGGTGCTCAGGGGTAGTTGCACAGGAGAAGGTGCTCAGGGGTAGTTGCACAGGAGAAGGTGCTCAGGGGTAGTTGCACAGGAGAAGGTGCTCAGGGGTAGTTGCACAGGAGAAGGTGCTCAGGGGTAGTTGCACAGGAGAAGGTGCTCAGGGGTAGTTGCACAGGAGAAGGTGCTCAGGGGTAGTTGCACAGGAGAAGGTGCTCAGGGGTAGTTGCACAGGAGAAGGTGCTCAGGGGTAGTTGCACAGGAGAAGGTGCTCAGGGGTAGTTGCACAGGAGAAGGTGCTCAGGGGTAGTTGCACAGGAGAAGGTGCTCAGGGGTAGTTGCACAGGAGAAGGTGCTCAGGGGTAGTTGCACAGGAGAAGGTGCTCAGGGGTAGTTGCACAGGAGAAGGTGCTCAGGGGTAGTTGCACAGGAGAAGGTGCTCAGGGGTAGTTGCACAGGAGAAGGTGCTCAGGGGTAGTTGCACAGGAGAAGGTGCTCAGGGGTAGTTGCACAGGAGAAGGTGCTCAGGGGTAGTTGCACAGGAGAAGGTGCTCAGGGGTAGTTGCACAGGAGAAGGTGCTCAGGGGTAGTTGCACAGGAGAAGGTGCTCAGGGGTAGTTGCACAGGAGAAGGTGCTCAGGGTAGTTGCACAGGAGAAGGTGCTCAGGGGTAGTTGCACAGGAGAAGGTGCTCAGGGGTAGTTGCACAGGAGAAGGTGCTCAGGGGTAGTTGCACAGGAGAAGGTGCTCAGGGGTAGTTGCACAGGAGAAGGTGCTCAGGGGTAGTTGCACAGGAGAAGGTGCTCAGGGGTAGTTGCACAGGAGAAGGTGCTCAGGGGTAGTTGCACAGGAGAAGGTGCTCAGGGGTAGTTGCACAGGAGAAGGTGCTCAGGGGTAGTTGCACAGGAGAAGGTGCTCAGGGGTAGTTGCACAGGAGAAGGTGCTCAGGGGTAGTTGCACAGGAGAAGGTGCTCAGGGGTAGTTGCACAGGAGAAGGTGCTCAGGGGTAGTTGCACAGGAGAAGGTGCTCAGGGGTAGTTGCACAGGAGAAGGTGCTCAGGGGTAGTTGCACAGGAGAAGGTGCTCAGGGGTAGTTGCACAGGAGAAGGTGCTCAGGGGTAGTTGCACAGGATAAGGTGCTCAGGGGTAGTTGCACAGGAGAAGGTGCTCAGGGGTAGTTGCACAGGAGAAGGTGCTCAGGGGTAGTTGCACAGGAGAAGGTGCTCAGGGGTAGTTGCACAGGAGAAGGTGCTCAGGGGTAGTTGCACAGGAGAAGGTGCTCAGGGGTAGTTGCACAGGAGAAGGTGCTCAGGGGTAGTTGCACAGGAGAAGGTGCTCAGGGGTAGTTGCACAGGAGAAGGTGCTCAGAGGTAGTTGCACAGGAGAAGGTGCTCAGGGGTAGTTGCACAGGAGAAGGTGCTCAGGGGTAGTTGCACAGGAGAAGGTGCTCAGGGGTAGTTGCACAGGAGAAGGTGCTCAGGGGTAGTTGCACAGGAGAAGGTGCTCAGGGGTAGTTGCACAGGAGAAGGTGCTCAGGGGTAGTTGCACAGGAGAAGGTGCTCAGGGGTAGTTGCACAGGAGAAGGTGCTCAGGGGTAGTTGCACAGGATAAGGTGCTCAGGGGTAGTTGCACAGGAGAAGGTGCTCAGGGGTAGTTGCACAGGAGAAGGTGCTCAGGGGTAGTTGCACAGGAGAAGGTGCTCAGGGGTAGTTGCACAGGAGAAGGTGCTCAGGGGTAGTTGCACAGGAGAAGGTGCTCAGGGGTAGTTGCACAGGAGAAGGTGCTCAGGGGTAGTTGCACAGGAGAAGGTGCTCAGGGGTAGTTGCACAGGAGAAGGTGCTCAGGGGTAGTTGCACAGGAGAAGGTGCTCAGGGGTAGTTGCACAGGAGAAGGTGCTCAGGGGTAGTTGCACAGGAGAAGGTGCTCAGGGGTAGTTGCACAGGAGAAGGTGCTCAGGGGTAGTTGCACAGGAGAAGGTGCTCAGGGGTAGTTGCACAGGAGAAGGTGCTCAGGGGTAGTTGCACAGGAGAAGGTGCTCAGGGGTAGTTGCACAGGAGAAGGTGCTCAGGGGTAGTTGCACAGGAGAAGGTGCTCAGGGGTAGTTGCACAGGAGAAGGTGCTCAGGGGTAGTTGCACAGGAGAAGGTGCTCAGGGGTAGTTGCACAGGAGAAGGTGCTCAGGGGTAGTTGCACAGGAGAAGGTGCTCAGGGGTAGTTGCACAGGAGAAGGTGCTCAGGGGTAGTTGCACAGGAGAAGGTGCTCAGGGGTAGTTGCACAGGAGAAGGTGCTCAGGGGTAGTTGCACAGGAGAAGGTGCTCAGGGGTAGTTGCACAGGAGAAGGTGCTCAGGGGTAGTTGCACAGGAGAAGGTGCTCAGGGGTAGTTGCACAGGAGAAGGTGCTCAGGGGTAGTTGCACAGGATAAGGTGCTCAGGGGTAGTTGCACAGGAGAAGGTGCTCAGGGGTAGTTGCACAGGAGAAGGTGCTCAGGGGTAGTTGCACAGGAGAAGGTGCTCAGGGGTAGTTGCACAGGAGAAGGTGCTCAGGGGTAGTTGCACAGGAGAAGGTGCTCAGGGGTGGGGTAGTTGCACAGGAGAAGGTGCTCAGGGGTAGTTGCACAGGAGAAGGTGCTCAGGGGTAGTTGCACAGGAGAAGGTGCTCAGGGGTAGTTGCACAGGAGAAGGTGCTCAGGGGTAGTTGCACAGGAGAAGGTGCTCAGGGGTAGTTGCACAGGAGAAGGTGCTCAGGGGTAGTTGCACAGGAGAAGGTGCTCAGGGGTAGTTGCACAGGAGAAGGTGCTCAGGGGTAGTTGCACAGGAGAAGGTGCTCAGGGGTAGTTGCACAGGAGAAGGTGCTCAGGGTAGTTGCACAGGAGAAGGTGCTCAGGGGTAGTTGCACAGGAGAAGGTGCTCAGGGGTAGTTGCACAGGAGAAGGTGCTCAGGGGTAGTTGCACAGGAGAAGGTGCTCAGGGGTAGTTGCACAGGAGAAGGTGCTCAGGGGTAGTTGCACAGGAGAAGGTGCTCAGGGGTAGTTGCACAGGAGAAGGTGCTCAGGGGTAGTTGCACAGGAGAAGGTGCTCAGGGGTAGTTGCACAGGAGAAGGTGCTCAGGGGTAGTTGCACAGGAGAAGGTGCTCAGGGGTAGTTGCACAGGAGAAGGTGCTCAGGGGTAGTTGCACAGGAGAAGGTGCTCAGGGGTAGTTGCACAGGAGAAGGTGCTCAGGGGTAGTTGCACAGGAGAAGGTGCTCAGGGGTAGTTGCACAGGAGAAGGTGCTCAGGGGTAGTTGCACAGGAGAAGGTGCTCAGGGGTAGTTGCACAGGAGAAGGTGCTCAGGGGTAGTTGCACAGGAGAAGGTGCTCAGGGGTAGTTGCACAGGAGAAGGTGCTCAGGGGTAGTTGCACAGGAGAAGGTGCTCAGGGGTAGTTGCACAGGAGAAGGTGCTCAGGGGTAGTTGCACAGGAGAAGGTGCTCAGGGGTAGTTGCACAGGAGAAGGTGCTCAGGGGTAGTTGCACAGGAGAAGGTGCTCAGGGGTAGTTGCACAGGAGAAGGTGCTCAGGGGTAGTTGCACAGGAGAAGGTGCTCAGGGGTAGTTGCACAGGAGAAGGTGCTCAGGGGTAGTTGCACAGGAGAAGGTGCTCAGGGGTAGTTGCACAGGAGAAGGTGCTCAGGGGTAGTTGCACAGGAGAAGGTGCTCAGGGGTAGTTGCACAGGAGAAGGTGCTCAGGGGTAGTTGCACAGGAGAAGGTGCTCAGGGGTAGTTGCACAGGAGAAGGTGCTCAGGGGTAGTTGCACAGGAGAAGGTGCTCAGGGGTAGTTGCACAGGAGAAGGTGCTCAGGGGTAGTTGCACAGGAGAAGGTGCTCAGGGTAGTTGCACAGGAGAAGGTGCTCAGGGGTAGTTGCACAGGAGAAGGTGCTCAGGGGTAGTTGCACAGGAGAAGGTGCTCAGGGGTAGTTGCACAGGAGAAGGTGCTCAGGGGTAGTTGCACAGGAGAAGGTGCTCAGGGGTAGTTGCACAGGAGAAGGTGCTCAGGGGTAGTTGCACAGGAGAAGGTGCTCAGGGGTAGTTGCACAGGAGAAGGTGCTCAGGGGTAGTTGCACAGGAGAAGGTGCTCAGGGGTAGTTGCACAGGAGAAGGTGCTCAGGGGTAGTTGCACAGGAGAAGGTGCTCAGGGGTAGTTGCACAGGAGAAGGTGCTCAGGGGTAGTTGCACAGGAGAAGGTGCTCAGGGGTAGTTGCACAGGAGAAGGTGCTCAGGGGTAGTTGCACAGGAGAAGGTGCTCAGGGGTAGTTGCACAGGAGAAGGTGCTCAGGGGTAGTTGCACAGGAGAAGGTGCTCAGGGGTAGTTGCACAGGAGAAGGTGCTCAGGGGTAGTTGCACAGGAGAAGGTGCTCAGGGGTAGTTGCACAGGAGAAGGTGCTCAGGGGTAGTTGCACAGGAGAAGGTGCTCAGGGGTAGTTGCACAGGAGAAGGTGCTCAGGGGTAGTTGCACAGGAGAAGGTGCTCAGGGGTAGTTGCACAGGAGAAGGTGCTCAGGGGTAGTTGCACAGGAGAAGGTGCTCAGGGGTAGTTGCACAGGAGAAGGTGCTCAGGGGTAGTTGCACAGGAGAAGGTGCTCAGGGGTAGTTGCACAGGAGAAGGTGCTCAGGGGTAGTTGCACAGGAGAAGGTGCTCAGGGGTAGTTGCACAGGAGAAGGTGCTCAGGGGTAGTTGCACAGGAGAAGGTGCTCAGGGGTAGTTGCACAGGAGAAGGTGCTCAGGGGTAGTTGCACAGGAGAAGGTGCTCAGGGGTAGTTGCACAGGAGAAGGTGCTCAGGGGTAGTTGCACAGGAGAAGGTGCTCAGGGGTAGTTGCACAGGAGAAGGTGCTCAGGGGTAGTTGCACAGGAGAAGGTGCTCAGGGGTAGTTGCACAGGAGAAGGTGCTCAGGGGTAGTTGCACAGGAGAAGGTGCTCAGGGGTAGTTGCACAGGAGAAGGTGCTCAGGGGTAGTTGCACAGGAGAAGGTGCTCAGGGGTAGTTGCACAGGAGAAGGTGCTCAGGGGTAGTTGCACAGGAGAAGGTGCTCAGGGGTAGTTGCACAGGAGAAGGTGCTCAGGGGTAGTTGCACAGGAGAAGGTGCTCAGGGGTAGTTGCACAGGAGAAGGTGCTCAGGGGTAGTTGCACAGGAGAAGGTGCTCAGGGGTAGTTGCACAGGAGAAGGTGCTCAGGGGTAGTTGCACAGGAGAAGGTGCTCAGGGGTAGTTGCACAGGAGAAGGTGCTCAGGGGTAGTTGCACAGGAGAAGGTGCTCAGGGGTAGTTGCACAGGAGAAGGTGCTCAGGGGTAGTTGCACAGGAGAAGGTGCTCAGGGGTAGTTGCACAGGAGAAGGTGCTCAGGGGTAGTTGCACAGGAGAAGGTGCTCAGGGGTAGTTGCACAGGAGAAGGTGCTCAGGGGTAGTTGCACAGGAGAAGGTGCTCAGGGGTAGTTGCACAGGAGAAGGTGCTCAGGGGTAGTTGCACAGGAGAAGGTGCTCAGGGGTAGTTGCACAGGAGAAGGTGCTCAGGGGTAGTTGCACAGGAGAAGGTGCTCAGGGGTAGTTGCACAGGAGAAGGTGCTCAGGGGTAGTTGCACAGGAGAAGGTGCTCAGGGGTAGTTGCACAGGAGAAGGTGCTCAGGGGTAGTTGCACAGGAGAAGGTGCTCAGGGGTAGTTGCACAGGAGAAGGTGCTCAGGGGTAGTTGCACAGGAGAAGGTGCTCAGGGGTAGTTGCACAGGAGAAGGTGCTCAGGGGTAGTTGCACAGGAGAAGGTGCTCAGGGGTAGTTGCACAGGAGAAGGTGCTCAGGGGTAGTTGCACAGGAGAAGGTGCTCAGGGGTAGTTGCACAGGAGAAGGTGCTCAGGGGTAGTTGCACAGGAGAAGGTGCTCAGGGGTAGTTGCACAGGAGAAGGTGCTCAGGGGTAGTTGCACAGGAGAAGGTGCTCAGGGGTAGTTGCACAGGAGAAGGTGCTCAGGGGTAGTTGCACAGGAGAAGGTGCTCAGGGGTAGTTGCACAGGAGAAGGTGCTCAGGGGTAGTTGCACAGGAGAAGGTGCTCAGGGGTAGTTGCACAGGAGAAGGTGCTCAGGGGTAGTTGCACAGGAGAAGGTGCTCAGGGGTAGTTGCACAGGAGAAGGTGCTCAGGGGTAGTTGCACAGGAGAAGGTGCTCAGGGGTAGTTGCACAGGAGAAGGTGCTCAGGGGTAGTTGCACAGGAGAAGGTGCTCAGGGGTAGTTGCACAGGAGAAGGTGCTCAGGGGTAGTTGCACAGGAGAAGGTGCTCAGGGGTAGTTGCACAGGAGAAGGTGCTCAGGGGTAGTTGCACAGGAGAAGGTGCTCAGGGGTAGTTGCACAGGAGAAGGTGCTCAGGGGTAGTTGCACAGGAGCGGACTTTTGAGTCGACTCAAAAGTCAGGGGGGGAGGACAAGATTATCTGCACAGGAGACGCTGCTCAGGTCAGGGGTAGTTGTACAGGAGCGGTGACTCAAGGGGAGTAACACAGGGGGAATTGCACAGTGGGGTTTGCACAGGGGGAGCCGCCGAGGGGGAGTCGCCGAGGGGGAGTCGCCCAGGGGGAGTCGCCCAGGGGGAGTCGCCCAGGGGGAGTCGCCCAGGGGGAGTCGCCCAGGGGGAGTCGCCCAGGGGGAGTCGCACAGGGGGGGTCGCACAGGGGGGGTCGCACAGAGGCGATAATCACACCATGGGGCGATTAGCCTAATGCCTGCCTCTCCCATGGGGAGATTAGCCTAATGTCTGCCTCTCCCATTTCCTCCCCAGGGCCTGCACTCGTACCTTTCCAAGCACGCCTACGCCAACACCATCACCAACGACCTCTGGAACTCCCTCGCTGATGCTTCAGGCAAACCTGTTGTTGATCCAACAATTTTTTTGCTCTCACTCTTTCTCTCCACCTTTCCTCCTTCCTCCCGGTTCCCCACAGGGCCTACACTCGTACCTTTCCAAGCACGCCTACGCCAACACCGTCACCAACGACCTCTGGAACTCCCTTGCCGAGGCCTCGGGCAAGCCTGTCCGTGAGATGATGGTCAGTTGGACGGCCCAGATGGGCTATCCGCTCATCTCCATCCTGCCCCCTAGCCCAGGCAAGCAGGGAGTGCGTCTCAGGCAAACCCGGTTCCTCTCCAAGGGACCTCCCAGCGAAGCAGAGGACAAGCAGCTCTGGTGGGTGCCTGTGACTGCAACGACAGGGCGAGTGGGCGGAGGCGAGGGGAAGAAGCTTGATACGGTGGTTCTGTCGGAGAAGGAAGGGGAGGCGGAGGGGTTTGTGGTGCCAGAAGGGGAGGGCGGATGGCTGAGGGTGAATGCGGGGCAGACGGGGATCTTCCGGGTGAATTACACAGAGGAGCAGTGGAAGGGGATTTCGGCTGCTGTGGAGGCGCTGCAGCTGCCTGTTATCGACCGACTGGGTGAGTGCATGTGGGTGTGGGTGTGTTGTTGAAAATGCCCATTGTGATGCATGCATAATACACATCACGACTCACCACCATATGTCGATCACCTGTCGCGTTACCCCTCGCCTCCGTCTTCTCCTCTCACACTCTCTGCTTTCTTCTCTCCCCTTTTTGAGGCGCCTCAAAAAACTCTTCCCTTTTTGAGGCGCCTCAAAAAAATCGCGTTACCCCTCGTCTCCGTCTTCTCTTCTCACACTCTCTGCTTTCTTCTCTCCCCTTTTCTCTCCTCCTCCTTCTCTCACGCTCCACTCTCTCCTCCGCCGTTCTTATCAACAGGCTCGGCCATGGACGCATTTGCACTGGCCAAGGCGGGTACCATCAAGACCAGCCAGTTGCTGCCACTTTTCAGCCACCTCGCACCCCCCGCTCTTCTCCACACCCCTCCCTGCTCTCGCGTTCCCCTCCCTCGTTTCTATCCAATCCACAGGCTCTGTCATGGACGCATTTTCCCTGGCCAAGGCGGGCATCATCAAGACCAGCCAGGCAGTATTTCAGCTGTCATCACGTGCCCTCCTCCCTCTTGTGCTCACTCCCTTCGCTCTTCTCTATCCCAACTTCCAGGCTCTGTTATGGACGCCTTTGCCCTGGCAAAAGCGGGCATAATCAAGACCAGCCAGGCTCTGCAGCTGGCATGGGCGTTCAAGAACGAAACGGAGTGAGTCTTTATTCCGGGTTACTTACCATGCATCTTTATCAAGCATCATAGGATATGAGTACTTCCTCTGGTAAAGTTTTCAAAGAGTAGAGGTTTTCACAGGGTTGATAAGTGAGGCAACTCCGTGAGTGAGGCAACTCCGTGAGCTGATGGGACATGAGGGGCACAGGGAAGTGAGGGACAGACTGGTAACTGTTTTGATGTGAATCGGACATTCTCAAGCACTTGTTTCCATGTGCCCTTCCCCGCGCGTCCAGATACACCGTATGGGCGCAGATTGCCGGGTGACATAGGCGAGCCGGAGATCCTTCAGAGAAATGCATGTACCATACTAAGCTTCGATGTGCTCCTTCCTCCTCCCGCTCCCCGTCCAGATACACCGTATGGGCACAGGTTGCAGTGGACATAGGCGAGCTGGAGATCCTCATAAAAACTCGTGTGCCTTACTATGTGTCCATGTGCTCTCTCAAATGAGACCAGATACACCGTATGGGCGCAGATAGCAGGGGACATTGGCGAGCTGGAGATCCTGATTGGCGCGCTGCAGCAGAAGCCTCTCCTGGAGGCGGTGGGCATGCAGCTCTTTACCCCCATTGCCGACAAGCTGGGCTGGGAGCCCAAAGCGGTGAGTTGTCTGAGAGAGAGACGTAGATCTGTTTTTCTGGCTAGGTGGCCCCAGGCACGCTGCAGCAGAAGCCTCTCCTGGAGGCGGTGGGCATGCAGCTCTTCACTTCCATTGCTGACAAGCTGGGCTGGGAGCCCAAAGCGGTGAGTACCCTGGCCCATGGATACCCATGCCTGTGCTTAAATCGGCAGTGAGACTCCATGCTGCGGCCCCTGGTGCTGGGCAAGCTGGGCAGCTACCAGCACTCTCCCACCATCACAGAGTGTCAAGTTCTCCTTTTTCCTTTCCGTGCACCCTGCATTCTACCTTCCTCAATCCCCACCTCCCTCACTGCAGCGCGAGTCTCATCTGGACTCCATGCTGCGCCCCCTGGTGCTGGGCAAGCTGGGTAGCTACCAGCACGCCCCCGCCATCGTGGAATGTGAAGTTCACCTTCCTTCTTTCGTGCGCCCTGATTCCCACCTCCCATGACTGACCGCAGGGCGAAACTCATCTGGACTCCATGCTGCGCCCCCTGGTGCTGGGCAAGCTGGGCAGCTACCAGCACGCCCCCACCATCGCCAAGTCTCCCCTCCCCTGTGTCCCACCTCTCCCACCCTCCACCTCGTTCACGGCAGGGCGAGTCTCACCTGGACTCCATGCTGGGCAAGCTAGGGAGCTACCAGCACACTCCCACTATGTCAGGGTGTGAGGCTCACCTTCCTTCTTTCGTGCACCCTGTGTTCCACCTCCCTCGATCCCCAACCGTCATGAGTGCAGGGCGAGTCTCACCTGGACTCCATGCTGCGGCCCCTGGTACTGGGCAAGCTGGGCAGCTACCAGCACGCCCCCACCATCGCCAAGTGCCAGGAGCTCTTCAAGCAGCTCACCGCTGACGTCTCGTGAGTGAAAGGCTGTGAGGAGATTAGAGTGCACACCCCATCAGTCAGCCTTTGCTTAGTGTGCATCCCTCCCTTTGATCGCCTTAGCACGCCCCCACCATCGCCAAGTGCCAGGAGCTCTTCAAGCAGCTCACCGCTGACGTCTCGTGAGTGAAAGGCTGTGAGGAGATTAGAGTGCACACCCCATCAGTCAGCCTTTGCTTAGTGTGCATCCCTCCCTTTGATCGCCTTAGCACGCCCCCACCATCGCCAAGTGCCAGGAGCTCTTCAAGCAGCTCACTGTTGACGTCTCGTGAGTGAACCTGTATAAGTGGATTGGCTTGCAAACCCCATCCAATCCAAGAATTTACAGAGTATGCATCCCTCCATCCTATTGCCTTGGCACGCCCCCACCATCGCCAAGTGCCAGGAGCTCTTCAAGCAGCTCACTGTTGACGTCTCGTGAATAAACCTCTATAAGTGGGCTGGATTGCACACCTCATTCAGTCTAAGACTTTGCAGAGTGTGCATCCCTCCATCCTATTTCATTGCCAGGAGCTCTTTAATCAACTCACCACTGACATCTTGTGAGTGAATGGCCTTGAGAGGCTTAGCGTGCATGCCTCATCTGTGCTAAGGGTGAGTGTGAGCATCTATGCCGCACTCCTTCGTTTGAGCGTCCATGCTTCGCATATGAAGGTGTTCTGCTATCTTCCCCTTCTCTGCCGCCCCACCACACCGCTACCAGCTCGGTCAACCCTGACCTGCGTCGGGTGGTCATGTCTGTGGCGGTGAAGTACGGAGGAAAGGCGGAGATGGAGGCCAGACCACTCTCTATCTGCAACTGCTCTCTCCTTCTCCCCCCCCCCCTGTCTGTCACCCTTCAGCTCGGTCAACCCTGACCTGCGTCGGGTGGTCATGTCTGTGGCGGTGAAGTACGGAGGAAAGGCGGAGATGGAGGCCAGACCACTCTCTATCTGCAACTGCTCTCTCCTTCTCCCCCCCCCCTGTCTGTCACCCTTCAGCTCGGTCAACCCTGACCTGCGTCGGGTGGTCATGTCTGTTGCTGTGAAGTACGGAGGAAAGGCGGAGATGGAGGCCACTAAGAAGCTCTACAGGGAGGCAACCACGCCTGACTTCAAGATCCACTGCCTCGTTGGTACGTGCTTCTGGGAGTAACCTAAAGTACCAATCGTAGAGGCACTTGAGAAATAGGTGTTTGAGCGCGACACAGGAAATCATCTGAGCTGCCCGAGCCATTCTCGTGATGTGTGCAATGCTAGCAAGCTCTGCAGGGAAGCTCTGCGGGGAAATTATAATGTGCTTCCCTTTTTAATTCCATACTATTTGCTTCTTTTCCCATCAATGCCCGCACATTATGAGCAGTACTTTCCTCTGTGAAAGACCGTGAGCTCTACAAGGACTTCCTGGCGTTCTAACTGCTATATTCAATATACCTTACGTTTAGCCCTCCCATCCTCTCTGTTTCCCTTTTCACCAATGCCACCAATGCCTATATATCCTATGAGCAGCACTCTCCTCTGTGAAAGACCGTGAGCTATACAAGGACTTCCTGGCGTTCGCCCTTGACGAGACTGAAGTGAAGGCGCAGGACCAATAGTAAGTATCTCAGGATTTAGAGAATTCTAATCCTTTTTCCACGTCAAGGATCATGAACTGCAAACGGATCATGCATGGGATTTCACGACTCTATGCACCCTGAAATCCCATGTCGGAGGCATTATTTTCAGTTTCCTCCCTCTGTTCCCCCCTCTACCCCCCAACTCGGCATTCTGTTCAGGCAAAGTCCGAGTTGAATGAACACCCTGCTTCCCCATCCTGTCCACATGTGGTCATATCATGGAAAGCAATCTCTGGGTAATCGTGATTGCGGCAGGCAACTTCTGAGTCAACTCTAAATTCACCTCTGTTCCCTATCCTCCTCCTTGCAGCACTGTCTTTATGACCATGGTAGGCAATGGAGTCAATTGGTAATCCGCATGGGAGTGTTTCAAGGATCATTCTGTTGGGTTCATCACCCCACTCCCCCCCCCCACCCCTGCAGCATTGTCTTCATGACCATGGCAGGCAACGCAGCCAATCGCGAGTTCGCGTGGGAGTATTTCAAGGAACACTATGACACCATCCATGCTCGCTTCGCCTCTGCTGCTGCCCTTTTCAAGGTGAGCCACTCTATTAACCAAGTCTGTACACACCCCACCCCCTCCCCCCTCCTCTTCCCCCCCTTCCTCCGTGGCCGCTCCCCCATGCCATGCAACCCCTCACAGCATTGTCTTCATGACCATGGCTGGCAATGCTGACAACCGCGAGTACGCATGGGAGTATTTCAAGGAGCATTTCGATGCCATTCATGCTCGCTTCGCCTCTGCTGCTGCCTTGTTTGCGGTGAGGCCTTTTTTTTCTGCAGTGAAATCTGTGAGGTCTTCTCGGTTTGGTCAACATCTCATTGTCTTGTGGTTTGTGCATTATAAGGTCAGGTCAATACCTTGCCGGATAGCTGATATGGTCACCTTGTGACGTCATTTATGTTTCTGTTCTGGTACCCCCCTCTCAAAAACACAACCAGCGTAGCCACAGATAACAGGCCTGCTGAGGAATTTGTTGCAATTTCAACAATCAATCCATCTCTATTTCTTGTATCTTGCCAACACGTGAATCTGTTGCTTGCAGCGCATACCAGCTCTGCCCCTCAAGGGGTTTGCCACTGAGGACAAGGCTCGTGATGCGGAGGCTTTCTTCGCCGCCCATCCGGTCCCAGCTGCGGCGATGGAACTGGATCGGACACTTGAGACGATCAGGGCTCGTGCAGCATGGCTGGCACGAGATGGGGATGATATCGTTTCTTGGCTCAAATCCAAGGCATCTTAGACAAATCTAATACCTGCTGCATCAAGGACAATCAGGATTGATGCCGTCAGTACTTGGGGTAATGGACTGCCTGGTTAAAAGATGGGGATTTGCGGCAATATGGATTTTTCAGGACCAGCTACTGCCAGACCTCGGACAGAGGAGCGGGCGCATGTTAGGCACATGCACTTCGAGCACTGCCGCTCCACGGTTATAGGCGCAGTGCAAAAGTTGGAAGTCTCCTTCACAGGCGCATAAAAGCATTTTTACCTCCCTCCATTCCTTTATAACGAGGAAGGAACACTTCAAGCACCTAAACGCAAGCAAACACACGCCAGTGGTGTCTCCAATGCGGCGAAGTCGATGTTCCTGACCAGAGGCGGGTGTTGTAATTGCACGATTGAATGTGGTTCAGTAAGTTCCGCTGCGGTTCAAAAAGGTCAAATCATATTTATTCAGGGCGCGTCATTTTCAGGACCCGCCCTCAGTCCACTTCCCTTCGGAATTTGAGGCGGGGGCGAGGTCAGCACAGTTCGTTTCATTTCATCACGTGCGGTTCCTCTCGTTGCGTCAAGGTTTGAAACTGAAAGCCTGATAACCGCTGTGCACCGCGTGGAATCGTTTTGCGCAACCACGAATGAACGGTACGAATGTTTTAGGCTTCCCTCATGAAATTCCGCTACAACCAGACTTTCTGGACTCCCGTCTTTTGTACTTGGGCAAGTTCGGCTGCCACAGGGGATGGGGGGAGGGGATGGGATGGAGCATCAGAACGCCGAGCCTCCTGGTTCGATCTGTTCGAACCAGGCAGAACACTTCGGTCAGACATGAAAATTGTGAAAACAGTGTCGGACGTGAGCCTAAAACGCGACGCGAACCCCGCGCTAGGCTTGAACCCGCGCCGCGTCCTCCCCCCAATTCCCCCCCATGGCGGAAAAACTCCGCCCTAGTGTTCAGGGCATGGAAAGTGCATTCCCGTGGGTGGTCTCAGCCCACAGGGAATGAAAAATCCATGCCCCCTTCCACAATTTTCATGTATACATTGACTCCACACTCTAAAAAACAAATAACCCGGACATTGAAAGTATAATGCTGCACACAAAGATCCGAAATGAACTCGCCAAAATTAAATAAGGTCAAGTCGTCCTTTACACCCTTGAATTAATTTATGGTGTACAGAATTCAAGTAGAGTAAGCTACCCAAACAAATCGCAACAGTAAATTCGGGAAAACTGTTCAGCTCGCGAAGTTTCGTTTCGCGCGGCTGCAGTTTCGTGGGCCCCCATTTCCCGAGTCGCTCCTCCGCGCCTTTCCCCCCAAACTTTCCGCTTCCGCCTGGACTCCAGACTTGGAGTCAACGACGGTTGACTCCAAGCTGACCACCCCGAACTAGAAACCCTAGCTGCAAATCTGATCCCTCCCCCCATCCCTCGGTCCATCCCCTGTGGCAGCCGAACATTGCCTTGAAGCTTGCAGCTTGAAGCATTTCCCAGTTTTGTACACGAGTTACCATTTCGTGAGAAGCTATTTGCTCCTCTATGTTATAAGTTGTGAAAGGAAAGAGTGCGCAGAACTCAATAGTGCGGAAGTGATTACAACGTCTGAATGAACAACGAGGCCTAGGCATAATATGGCAAGGTTAGCTAGGCCGAGGTCGCGGGGTCGCGGGATGGTTGGGTGTAGGTTCGGGGTTGGAAAACCCGAAAGCGACGCGGTGGTGGCTCGGAAGGCGAGGTCGGCGGGCCGAGCCTGGTTTTCCGAAAGTCGGAGTTGTACGCGTACAGTGTGACCCAGTAAGGAATCGTGAAAAATCCTTACACTACCCCCCCCCCCCCCCCTTTAAGAAAGGTGGTGAATATCCGAAACACCTCGGCGGGCGAGGTAAGCGTCCAAAACCGGGTGTCCCAGAAGCGAGTCAGCAGCGACATACGTGTCGTCCCCGCTCGTGCGGTCTTTCTAGCGAAGCAGCAATTTCACTGAGCGGCCGGCAACAGTCACGTCCACGCGATGGTTGAGAATTTTCCAGGGTTCCAGCGTGGGCTCTGCCACGGGGCGAGTGGTCGGCGCGAGGGTCGGTCGAGCAACAGCTGGCGACTGCGGCTGTTCGTAGTGACGCAACAGGCTGACGTGGAAGGCGTCATGTATCTTCCAATCGTCGGGCAGCAGCAGCTTCGCGGTGACAGGTGTCACCATCTGGATGATCCGAAACGGTCCCACGTAGCGGGGCCGTAATTTCGCGGGCTGCGGCAGCCGAAGGTTCTTGGTGTCCAGAAGTACAACCTGCCCCGGGCGGAAGGGTAAGTTCCGTCGGTGTTTGTCCGCCTGACGACTGGCCGTGGTATTAGCCTTGCGAATGAACTCGGCTGCTTTCGTTCGGGCGGTTTGCAGTTCCGTGACAAACTACTGCGATCTTGGTACCGGGTTGTCCCCAGTCGTGGAAGAGGGTACCACGGGGTCTATCCCGTAATTCAGGAAAAAGGGTGATTGTTTAGTCGTGGCCGATGGGGCGTTGTTGTACGTGAATTCCAGCATCGGCAGCGAATCTTCCCACCTGCGAATGTCGGGGCAGTTGGTGCGAATCAGCTGCTCCATGGTCTGATTTGTCCGTTCCGTCTGTCCGTCGGTCTGCGGGTGGTATGACGACGAAAACTGCAGGCGGGTACCGTACTGTGCCCACGTTTTCTGCCAGAATTTCGACGTAAATTTCGGATCACGATCGCAGATGATCGCCGAAGGTAACCCGTGGAGGCGTACGACGGTGGAGATGAACAGTTTGGCTGTATCTTCGGCTGTGATCGTCGTTCGGCATGGGGCGAAATGCGCCATCTTCGTTAGGCGATCGACGATGACCAGCACCGAGTCGTTGCCACTCGCGCCAGCTGGGAGCCCCGTGACGAAATCCATCGTCACCTGTTGCCACGGTCGTTCGGGTGGCGCGAGGGGTTGCAGCAGTCCGGCTGGCCTTTGTCGCGACGACTTCATTGCTTGGCAGGTCGGGCAAGTTGACACGTAGCGCTGTACATCGGTCTGCATGTCCGGCCAGTAATAATTCCGCTGCAGCAGCTTCAGTGTTTTATCGGTGCCGAAATGCCCGGAAAGGTTGGAGTCATGAACCTCCTGCGTCAGCAGCTCTCGTAAAGGATGGTATGCTGGTCCCCAAATCCGGTTCGTACCGGCTTTTAGGTAGTATTTGCCGTGCGGTGTAGCAGCCTGTTGTTGCGGGTTCCGAAAAAACCTGTCGATCTTGTCAGAATCAGAAACGAGAATGAATGACTAGAATGAGTGTTGGGTACAAATAGGTCAAACCTAACCCTAGAAATGTGTACCCACTATAGGCTAACCCACTGTAGCCTAAACAAGCACATCATACAATGTTTGACACACCCCCATAGGCAAAGTGGGGGAGAACAAGGGGTCACAAGACCAGTCAAAGCAAAACAAAGCTCAGGGTGGATCTCAAGGATACCACACAAGTTCCGAGCGCAAGCAAGCGGTCACAAGACCAGTTCACATGCAGATTTATAAAAGAACAAGAGATACAGTAATCACAACCTAGCAAGAGTAAGCATGCAGGTATATATATATAGAGATCACTGTACAAGCAAAGTCAAGAAGTGAGCAAATGAGGCACAGTAGGCACGAGGCCTAGAACAGTACAGAAGCGCTGATGGTCACAAGGCTGAAGCGCCTTGGTGAACACGTCAGCAGTGTTGGCCCGAGTGGCCACGTAACGCAGACAAAGCTGACCTCGCTGCTGCAGCTCTCGAGCAAGAAAGTAGCGCAGAGCAATCTGCTTCGTCCTGTGCTCCAGTCTGTGCTCCCCACACAAGGCAATGGTGGCCTTGTTGTCGACGTACAGCACTGGAGGAGAACGAGGCTGCTCTCCAAGGTCAGTCAGCAGGTAGGTGAGCCAGCGAAGCTCCTGGGCAGCCATGGCCGTGGCGTAGATCTCAGCCTCACAGCTGGAGCTGAGAACAGAAGAAGAGCGAGTAGAACGCCAAGAGACAGAGCCAGAGCCAAGACTGAAGGTGTAACCCTGGGACGACCGCTGAGTAGCCTGGTCGTCTGCCCAGGAAGCGTCTGAGTGCCCAGTGAGAACAGGCCGGTCTCGCCCTCCAAGCACTAGCCCCATGCCCGACGTACTGCACAAGTAGCGCAACACCCTCTTAGCTGCATCCATGTGCTCCTTCCGGTGACGGCCGGGAGCGACATAGCGTGCTAAGATGCTGAGAGGGTATGCAAGGTCAGGTCGAGTGCAGGTCATCAGGTACATGAGGCAGCCCACAAGCTCTGGATACGGACCACTCGGCTCTACGGACTCATCCGAAGGCAGAGCTGAGAGCGAGTGTCCCGTAGGCAGAGGAGTGGACTGAGGCGAGGAGTACGTGAACCCGAAGCGCTGAAGGACCTGCTGCACCATGTGTGACTGAGTCAAGGTGATGGTGCGCCGTGCTCTGTCCCGGGTGATCCGCAAGCCAAGATAGCTTGTCAGTTCACCCAGGTCTGTGCACGTGTGTCTCTTCTGCAGCTCGGACTTCACGTGAGCGAGACCAACTGTGTCAGAAGTGGCAAAGACCAAGTCGTCGACGTACACAAGGATGTAGAACGGCGGCAGCGAGGGGTCGGTGCGTAGAAACAGCGACGGGTCAGCAGTAGAAGGAGCGAACCCAAGAGCCGCAAGTGTAGTCCTCAGTGTGTCGTGCCACTCACGTGGCGCCTGGCGGAGACCGTAGACTGGCCGCCGGAGGCTCCACTGGGTACCAGGAGGGAACGACCCAGTGAAACCAGGTGGGCGGCGCAGCCAGATCTCCTCGTGCAGGCTGCCCTGCAAGAAAGCTGTGCTGAAGTCTAGAGAGTGGAGCTCGTAGTCACGCTGAGCGGCGACGTGTAGCAGAACCCGAAGAGTGGTCATCTTCGGGGTCGGGGAGAAGGTCTGGAAGAAGTCAACTCCCTCTCGCTGACTGAAGCCTCGTGCAACGTAACGCGCCTTGAAGACAGGCGGAAAGCCCGGCGGCCGCTTC